ATTTATAAGGGTACATTCCCTTAATAATGCAACGTGGGGAACACATAGCACAAAAACACCTAAAAAACTATTGCATAAAGAAGACACGAAGATGGTTCTGATGCACTAACCGTCAGAAATAGAAGCGGCCCTGTGAAGTTCTTACGTCCCCGATTATCATTCCAAGATTTTTTCGTGCACACCAGACAACGAATCATGTAGGAGCACCAGTTCATATTCATCACATTCGATAGATCACTGAAAAGATGGATTATACGTAAATTTGCCATCCCGTTGCTAGTGCTCTCGAATAGGCAAGTCACCATGAGAACAACAAAATTGCGTTTGAACCAATCGTCACTTCCATCACAATTCTGAATCATGTCTAAGACTCTCATGGCTGTAATGTTTGCCGGCTTACTGGCATTATATAACCTCACCCATTCTTTCAACAACTCCGACTTGGTTTTTTTCTTTTTATTCGTGATCTCAATCGTTCCACGGGGCAGTCCAAGTACAACGTATACATCGTCTTCTTTCACGTGAATCTTTTCCCCGCCGTAGAGTTTCAACTTCCGATCCATGTGATTGAAGTTCTCAACCAACCAGTGCCCCATTTTTGCCGGTGTCAACTCCAACAAACGACCGAATCCCATGTCACGGACTGCCTGCTTCTGATCATCGGTCAGACCAGACACAGCCTTCACGAAAATGGCTGGTGATGATCTTGTGTTGATGCTTGGAAGGGCATCACCATCATCACTACCTATAATCGGTGCTACACCAGTAGCTTCCAACGCAAGTGTTGCAGCTGTTTTGATATAAACATAGCATCACTATAATAATATCTGATAATAACGCACTCAAAACACGAATGATGTAAGTGAGTATACCATTTTGGGTCATCGTATTCTTATATCGTTTCAGCTGAGGTGCAGCATCAACGAAATCATCGTTTTCAGGCAGACTACTTAGATTTGCACGTTTACTGCATTCGTCAGCTCGTTTTAGTTCATAGACCTTTCGTTTGATTGCTGCAAAGATAACACGTAATGAAATGAAAATGACATATGTAAAAATAGCAGGAACCATGTGATAATAAACATGATTGAACGTACCACCCTGTGCCGCCATAATTTTATCACGCTTCAATTCAGATGTATCATCAACTAAATCATCGCTGCCCGCGCTCACAACTGTTTTTCCACGGTTTACAAGATCTTCAGCGCGTGTTGGCTCATCTCCCATCTGTTTGTTAGCTGCAAGATAACAACAGTAAATGGATTAACCGAACATTGCGTAAGCCACTCCTTTAAATATGACTAATCTACAGATGTATACCTTCATGCGCATGTTTGACGCTTTGTGATGAATGACTCGGCTGAGATTCATTCAACCCCGAACGTCTACCTGTAACTAGATAAAATACACGAAAAATCAAGAACACGATAATAAAAACAGAATAAAAATCGAAAAAGGATACTGTGACTGCATGTACCTTTCCAACCACCACGCGGTTGGTCTGTCGAGCCTTCGTCGACAACACGTTCATCTGCAAAGGCAAAATTACAACAAGCAAAATGGGTTTGAATAATCAAGAGCGATACACTCATCAAAACACCACATCAATTGAATTCTAACATATTATCTATAATTACCCAAATTCGCAATAGACCAACATTAAATGCAATTTTGCAACAATTATACAGTAATTAATTAAAAAAACTAGCACCATTTCAACATTGATTCTACAAAAAACACGAAGATCGCGAACTCTAAATTTGTATTCTTTTCTAGATTTTTTTTTTTTTTT